CTTTGCCACTGTCCCCATAATCATCAGCTCTAAGAACAAGATGACATCAAGTCAGCCTGCTGCAGGATTTACTTCTGATCCTATAATGGTCAAAACCAGGACTGCATCAAGTCAGACAACTCAGCTTACACAAAAGTGCCCTCTGTAACTGACAAGATCAAGTTCAGTTTACAAAAGAATGCCCACTGTAACTGTCAGATCCAAGAACCAGCTTCTGCATCAAGTCCTCCAATTTAAATCACCCTTAAAACAACATTCAAAGATTTTGACCATCAAGCCAGTATATTCTTTCTTATACCTCTTCAATTAAATCAATATTTTACTGGTCAGCCTCAGCGAGACATGTTGGACTGTACAGGACTTCAGTTGGTGTTCTACTCCAGTGCTGGCTAAAAAGATGGATTAACTACTGTAATGAAACAAAATTACCAAAACTGATTTGTAACTGTTTAAGTCAGAAAGCAACAGCTTTTGTAAAACCTGAAATGTCAGTGAAGTAATCCAAACACATATATGATACCACTCATCTGGGACAATAAATGTGTTGTATTTCGGAGCTTGTTGTATATTTGCTCCTCCAAAGTTTGATTTGCTCCAACATTTATCAATAATTATATGTTATTTCTTTAATGGTTAAGATTGGTATGATCTATATAGATAACCAGCCCTATTCTACTCTGAAACAAACAGCACATTTGTTACCTATCCTACATAAAGTCCAATGACAGTCAGGAATTTCTCATTCAGTCCCAGACAACATCACATCTGAGTGTGGAGGAAGGTCCATGTGATTCTCTAATCAATTAAGTAAGTCTGAAAATGTAGACTTTAATAGCAAATGGCATTTTTGACATCTAGGCTTCCAAACAGATATTACATAGAGTAGTTCGAGCCAATAGAGAGAGTACAGATGGGTTTTAAACTGTAATTACCTGTGTAAGTTCGACCATCACAGTATATGGAAGGAAATTCATGGATTTACACCAACAATAAACATGCCTCCTACTGCAACAGTCGAAACTCTGCACAATGAATTGTATCTCTCAAACAACTGGATGAAATGAAGTGTCTCCATTTACCAGAACTACATAGTACTGATTAGATTAGATTTGATCAACATGTTTTCAACAGCAAAGTTGATGAATCAGCAAACTTCATCATCATTCAGTAAAGAAATACAGATAAATGTCAAATAGAAATAGATCCAAAATTTTGACTAGCATCTTTAAGGTACACTTTGTCAACTAAAAGGAGTATCGAACGGTTGCAGTGTGACATTTGGTTGATTTTATGCTATTGTCCCGATAGTATGGGCCTTTGCTCATACCATCAACCACAAGCTTGCCTGCCCCACAACAGAATATCCACACAACACCTTCACATCCCGTGGTGCCTGACAACATTGGCAACTACATCATGTCAACTACAACATGGCTAGCTGATACAACTACAAATAGAGCATATGGAGCACAAAGCAAAACATGAAATGTGTGTTCTTTCATAATGCTCACATGAACGATTTTTGTTCACACATTTTACCAGCTGTAACCAAAGGTTAAGATGAGCATTCTTTGCTGAGAACCAATCTGCTGCAGAAATAATGATTTGTCTGGGCACATGTTGAGGCAATAAGTGAGATTCTAGATTACCGGTACACAACTGAAATTCATTTCATCCTTCTCACATATTGAATAGTATTCCTGTCTCAGTGGTCAGTAATGTAGGACTAAAGCTCCAGCAACCACTCCTGTAAAACCTTTAACCAATGACATTGTGACAAACGATGACCATGCTCATCGAGACAAATCTGAGATTCTGACCGATCTCTGTAGTTATGGGAGGCAAGCCACAGAGGAAGTCCTCCTATTGATCTTGTGGCTACCATATAGGAATACAACAATAAAACATGATGAACTCAGATATAAACTGATGTGCACTAATATTTATTTAACATGGTGATTCTGTGTGACCTAACAAACATGGCAATGTACTTAACTGACACATTAACTTTCCAACTCCAGACCAACGAAACAAAGCCATAAACACTGAGATAGAATACAAAAAATGACATGATAACTTCATCCTATTTTGCAGTCCACTCTTTTTTGATGGATTAGAATATGATAATATACCATGTACACAAAGACAAAATGCAACAAAAGAATGCTTGTAAATAATCTTTGAAATTTCCAATAGAATGACATTTCCAATAGAATGACTATCTAAATATTTGCTTACTTTTCGGATATATCAATTGACACAAACCATAACAAAAATCAACAGTTTAAAAATTCTGCATGATTAAATGGTAATTTTACTCCTTTTTGCATAGAATATATTGAAAATTGGTAATTCCCTTCCTGTTTTCACCATTTTGAAAATTTCTTTATCGTCAACTTAAATATTACTGGCACCTTCATGTGAAGTCAGCATAACATGTGACAATGTAATCGATACCAGGAATCTACTTTAACTGACAGTCATTGGCTTAATGACACATAGATGTGTTTCACTATATCATACCATGCAGTTTTTTTTGTCTGTTTTGTTCTGTAATACATCCTTGGTGCCCAAACCTTTACACTGAGAACATTTCAACAAAATTTCATATCAAGAAATGTTCATGTTTGTGATGTGTATGGCAAGAGTCTGATGTAAACAACTAACACATAATACCTTTACTGTAAACAGTTAAACTTATTTTTTTTATCAAATTCAGTGTATTTTTCTATCAAATTCAAAATAACATCTGTTACAAGACAAGATTACAGAAAAATATTTTACTAAGCCTCAGATTTGTGGCTTGAGTTTGTTTACTAATTTACTCTCATGACTTTCTTTTCCACAGTCAAAACTGTCACATGATATCAACACAAACGTGGCAATGGAACCCATTCAACAGGACAACAGCTCATCTGAATGTTATGACTGGAACAAGTAGAAAAGATACATATTCTTCCTGAACAAGTGACGCAGAGACTGAGGACAGATAGTGAGACAATGTTCAAATTGTACCTTCATACTAACCATTATAATTACATCTCCTACATGTCAGATTTTTCATCAAACCATTGTTATTATTTTTACACATATCACCTTGATCACTAAGCACCACTGACTTTTTCAGAATGACAGAACTCTTAATTGTTTGATCGGCATTCTCGAAGTTAGCGAATCAATAATAAAGCATACAGCTTTACTTCTTGTTTGTTGTATGGAATGACATTTTGGTATAGGTTCTTACACTGTTTTCGAACCCCCTGGACTAAAGATGTGACTTTTGAGCATTATGTGACATTGTAAATTTTAAAGGCAAGAAATTTATGGATGTCAAATGATGAACTTGACACCTGATGAAGGAGTAAGAACATACTCCGAAACATTATGTTCCTCAAAATTAAGAAGTTGACATCCATAAAATTCTTGCCTTTAAGTGTATCAGTTCTAAATGCTGTTCAAAGACATTTTACAGTTTAGTTCATACCATAACTGTACTTATTTCACAAACAGAGATGTCCATGATGCTTAGATTGCCCTATATCAGATTGAAAAAGACAACAACAAATAAGTTCTTATGCAAGCACTTTGGGTATTTTTTTTTCAGCATGAAATAGCCTACCCTGGAAAACAGGAATTAAAGACTGTCATGCAGTGCTATTGTTGTTGTTGCATCAGTGCTCCACATAATTGTTCACTCTCAAAAGTATGTACAGTTGAAATTATCTCAGGGCTACAGATAAGGGGCATACAGGCGTAATGTACGCCTAACAATCAATGAAGTACGACATAATATAAGATTTCAAGCATATCATGTACGCACATAAATACCTTCGTACGTCAAACATATATAAAGTTTAATATCTGAAAGGTTGTTTAAAGTGTTTTAAGGGTATTCTAGATCTGATATAGTGTGTCAGATAAACGTGGGAGGTATGCCGGACTGATGCCGGTAAGAGACCTCATTTAAGTGACTATACACAACAATATTCACACAATGGTGTCATTTCTACTTCCTCCCATTTTGTACATTTTGCGAATATAAACTGTAGAAAATAACTAACCACATCACCAACTCACTCTTCAAATAATGTCAGTACTCCTTCAAAACTCTCAGTACACCTCTACTTGCAATATGAGGTGAAAGTACACACACCCCCAAAAGTTATCTGGAGCCCTATAGCTGGAGAAGAGTATAGAGGTAGAATTCAGTTCTTGTTGGAGCACAGCAGCGCTCATCCTCGATAATGTCCAGGATATACGTTACGATCACTCTCCACTATCCCCTGGATGCATCCATGGCTTGGCCCGATAATTATATTATTCTCACAGTAGCCAATCAGCTAAGCCGCCGTTACAACCGAGCTTGCCAGTGTCAACAAAGATAGCAGTCGCAGTCGCGAAGGTTTGTTCGCAATGCCACTCATATTTTTTTGGAAATCATACAGACAAATTGAGGATGTGAAAAAATATATGAAAGAACACCTTCTGCCTCTTTCAGAGTACCTCTGCATCAATTGTGTTGCCAAGTTTAAATGGTTAGATAATTTAAGAAGCGAAAGTGAGTTGTGATTGGTTCGCTCAACTTCCCAGCGTAGACACCTGATTGGATAAAAAGCCAGCAAAGGGAGGTAATAAAATCATCGGGCCATGCCGTGGATGCATCCAGGGTACAGTGGAGAGTGATCGTAACGTATACCCTGGAGATTATCGAGGATGAGCACCACTATGTCTCAAACTTATGGGAATTATGCTTGGTCTGCCTGCATAAACATTGGTATTAATACATTAGACTGTGTTAGCAAAGTTCCACCACTAAACTACAGTATGATTTGCCTTTATGTGACAGTGAGTCAATGAATCTACTCTTACTGTCAAATATACATCATAAAATAGAAGTAATTTCAATAGATGGTCTGTGAGCTGTTCAGTAACCACAGCTTGTAGTAAGTGAACTACATTATACCACTTTTTCAGGTTTAAATAATAAAAAATCAACTTTATATCTTATTTGTTCTTTTATTCTCAGATATATTTTCAGCATTTCAATATCAGAAAGTACACATCACCTCTGCATTTAATTATTATCACAATATAAGTGATTATTGAACAGTTAACAGGGATTTATCTCAAGTCCTGTCTTTGAGGGTCCCTGGGACTCATACTTTTAATTTTCAGGGGTCCCGGACTACATAATGGGGTTCCCAGACACTTAAATATCATTATTAATGCTATGTTGTGATACTGTTGTAATTCAGTTACTGTTATTATATTGTGTATCATGATCATCACATTGTTACAGTAATTACATTGAAAATGATACCATAACCCGGCTAGTAGCAGACTCGGTGATAACTTATTCTTACTTGATCAATATTTTTACAAAAAGTATTTGGACTTTTTCTGCGTCCCTGTGGACACGCTTAATCAATTTTCATTGTGTCAGTTATCAATTTTTATGCGTATAGGATGCAGGAATTCGTGTCCCAAAAATAACTGGTTAATGTGTGGTGTTACAGTTAGTCACTGCAACACCACCTATTTAATGGTACAGCTTTCATAAATTTTGTCATGTTTATTAAGTGTAGATAAGACTAAAAAACAAAAATTCAACTTTTGAGATGTTTGCTAGCCATTCATTAAGCTGACACCAGGTAACTTCAGTTTCTCTGCTCTGGCCCTGTATGGCAATGATAGCAATGATAGTCTCCTTTCCCTTACACAACTTTCAGAAACGTTTATTATGTCCTGCCACTATATCCAAGCCATGGGAATGACTTTTGCCACAATTCAGTACTGTCTTGTACCTTCGTTTCCATGTGATTTCAGCAAGATTTTCATACAATGCTGTCTATAAGATTGTCAATAATATCACTGACCACATCACTCACTGAGTATCTTGGCATAGACATGTATGCTTTAACAATTTAGCTTGTGATAGTTTTCTGTGAATTCGATGCAATTTCAGATATGAACATTAGAAAAGACTCACGAATACAGGTGATGTTCTAAGTGGTTATAATTTTTAGCCAATCAAAGTGAAGTTAACACATTTCCTGCTGATGAAGAGTTGCTTAGCAACGAGGATTTACCTCTTACGTAGTAGATCATAATGCATTGCAAGAGGAAAAACCAAGTTTACAATGTAACATAAGACAGTGAAGCATGAAGGAAATGACAGTAAGAACCTAACAGTGGCACACAGGCCATTATACTCGTGTACATGATACACCATTAATTGTAACGTCGATCCTTATATTTTCACTGTACATACACCAATATGCCCATTATCTGGAGCACTGTGCATGCTGGGTGAATCTGTTGCTGCACAGGTGCCTAGGAACCAAAGACTGTTTTCTTCAGCCTCAACTCAAAAACATCACACTGCTGCCATGAGGGAATTATGCAATCAAGTGGGGAGCAGGACAATTGCCACTGGATAATTTCCACCTAGGACAATTGCCACTCAGCACAATTGCAGGCTGTGATAAAACATTATTTCATAAACATGTGTTTGGTTATAATATTTAATCATAAAACAAATTTGGTTGGGAATAATTCTACTAACTCTGAGGTGGTAGTTGTCCTTTGTGGCAATAATCTGGGGTTAGTTGTCCTCCCTCCCATCGGGTGTTTCCAACAACACTGTGGTTGATAAACACTTATATGTACATCACATGCTGAGGACTGTCATTGAAATCACAGTATCCACAATCAACTGATACAAAAAAGTATCATCAATGCAATAATTGAAATAATAACTTTTATGACACATTCATTATATCATTTCTTTTCGAAATACTGCAGGTAAACAGTGAATAAGTAGTTCTTATGCTAGCCATGTTTTAACTTTTACATTAACAGCAGTAACTTAAAATTAGTCCTTAAATTATTATGATAAAGGCTTTATTCAATTTACCTTTATTCCCTATTGAGAAATTGAGCGTTGAATTTTTTTTAACAAGTGCCACTGGATCTTTTAAGGTGTTTTTAGTACACTTATTATGTATTTTAACACAGAATTCAATGCATTAATGTAGAACCAAACATTGAAGCCTCTTTCTCATTCACATGAGTTTAATCTTAATCCCAATTTTGAGACTGACATTTGGGCCCAATATCTACCTGAGGTAGTCAGGATAAAATCCTGTATTTATCCTGAAATTTTCATAAGATAAATTGATCTTGAATTTTTGATTCAATGACAGCCCTCTACATCATTAACATCATTTATGGATATGCAGATCAATAACTGACTTCAAAACAATATTGGAACATACCTTGTTGCTACAACAAGGCAACTAAATATGACATTATCTTATAATACTTTTGTGAGTACACAATAGGGAAGTGAGAAATAATTCAGACTAAAAATATATTTAGTAATAACATATGACTGTGAAAACCAATACAAATACAGCTCATGAACATGATGAAAGTAAATGAGAAACTCTTGAAAAACAGGAATGCCTTGTAGGTATAAGTAACCAATGCCTATGCTGTCAAATACTTGATTTCTATCAGTCTGACTGCAATGTATTCGAAACACGTCAAGAAGAATATGTGTAAAGTACTGACACTTCAACCATATTTTTCACTGCTTGCTTCAAAACAAAAACAACAACACACAAACAAACTAAAACTTCAAAATCCAGGCAAAGTATGTTCCAACTAGACACAACTGTCTCCAACACTTGGCACTTGACAAACTTTGACACTATTAACTGAGTAAAGCACTTGATGAGAAACAGGTTACGACTTCCAGTTGGAGAATCTTACTTCACGCTCAATCTTTTTGGTGGGGGAGGCAATGTCCTCCTCACCTGAGTCATTATTCTCTTCCTTGTCTCCATTACCGTGGCTCATGCAAATAACCTTAGAGTTTACTTTTGGAGGCTTTTGATTAAGCTTCTGGCTCTTTGCAGCTTGTGCACGTGGCATGACTACTCTATATGAGTGGCTTTGATTTTCATCTTCACTGTCTGATTCATCGCTCGCATGTTGACGTTTCCTCGTGAAAGACCGGTCATCATCCAGTCGAGGGGCGTCAGGTAAAACTCTGAAAGGACATAAACAGGAATGTATCAGATTATGTCAAACAAAGAGATTGCCTTTAAAAAAGATTTAACAATTTGAGCAAGTTATATTGTTGAAAAAATATATCAATCTGTACTGCTGTTTTAGTTATTTGTCCCCCCAATCTAAAAATAAAGACAGAAATTAGACAACCAAATAAAAACAACTCAAGCATTTTATGTCAGCTATTATCATGATTATAATGCTAAACGGTTGAAAAAGTCACCTTCTCAAAATAATGACAGCACGCCTTGCAACAACATCTTGAGGTCGGATGCAGTGGGTAATGCCATCAGCTGCATAGCCACTGAAACAAAATACAACTTGGTGAAAAGATTTGGCTATTTGGCACATTTGCTCATAGCAGATGTTACAGATATACCTCTTGATACTTTGTCATGCTGTCATGTATTTGAGATTAAGTGGCATATCCATGACAACAGATAATCTTCAATTTCTTATATGTTTATTCAGAAGTGTAATGAAGAGCCTATCGTGGGGGTTGGCACACTTTCCTAGGTTTGTTGATCTGTGCATATAGTTATAATTACTGGGGGGTTTTCTCAGTGTTTCATGAAATCTTCCACTTCTGGTTATAGTTGCATTTAAAGCTAGCAACATTCATCACCTGTGAGTGTGTGTTGTTGGGGGGGTGTAGGCGTGGGGGTTTCGATCTCTAGCATGCCTCGTGGCAACATATTGAAAAGCTAATCATAAACATGAAAAAAGATGAACAGAAAAGAGGACAGGGTAACAGCAGCTATTGGAAAGGAGTAATAGCAGTTAACACGTAACCAATGTTACATCCAAATCAACAATGAAGATAATTGCATGACATGCCTTTGAGTTTGAATGTCTACTGTAATGACCTTCAGATAATACCTATACATTTGACATCATACACAGGTGGTATGCAATTTTTCATATTACCTTAGGACTGTAACACATCCTCGCTGAATGGGCAAAGTAAGGACTGGCTTTGACACTCTGATTGGTTTAAAGGAGAACCTGCAACCAAAACTTAGAGCGCTGTCACTAAAAAAAGATACCGAAAAGATGGGGCGGTCAAATATATGAGGCGGATCGATGTGTGAGACGATGCATCCCCCAGGCATATAGTCATTGATCACAGCACTGTTGACGAAGCCTTTCGGAACAATTTCAGCGTCATACAGGGGGTTTATCACAAGTTTTTCTATCCACTTGGGCACTTCATCTACATCCCCTTTCGGGTAAAGCCTCTCCTGCCCAGGGCCCTTCTTTGCCATCTGAGATCCGTACGTGTACCCTTCGCCAAAGAAATATTTGTTTCTCAATGGTGCTCGGTCGACTGTGCAATCTTTGTACACCCCTGCTTCGGCTTCAGCAACAACCTCGTCAATTTTTCTCTCGATCTCTTCGCACTGCGCTGTTGAGAAAATTCGACGTTGCTGAATACTGTTGTCAAGTTTACGTAATTCATCCTCGCTTTCGTTTTTTACGTGATCTTCATATCTCGAGGATGGTTGATAGAAATCTGCATACATAGTATCATACTGACCCCCTGAGTGGCGTTTTTTGACCGATTTTGCGGGCTTTGATTGATGTTTTAACTTGTGTCGCAAATCGACAATACTGTCGGCGGCCATGTTGCTGTATCATTACCCACAATTCCTAGAGGTAAACACAGGAAAACGCGCGAAATCTCACGTCGTTTCACGCGAAGAGGGCATCTAAGGACACAAGGGACTGATCGCTGGCACGTTGTCCCATGTATATATATGAACGTTACTCAGAATTCAGGGGCAGATACAGCTTTCTGAGGAGGGGAGGGATGCACAGGTTCTATAAATGTCCCAGTATAAATGCGATAGAGTAAATATCGTGAAACTTTGGTGGCAAACTAGGCAATAATTACAAAACAAACCAGTCAAACGCAAACGTAGAACAATTTATTCTGTATAATCTATTTATTTATTTTTTCGACCCTCTCAAAACCACCCACCCCCACCGTAAAACACACCCACAGCCACATACCCGTAAAACATTTTTATCAACGCTAACGTGATCGCTTATTCTAGCATATACAGTATCACCATGCTCCCCAAATTGTTACTCTGTTTCACTAACATTTTTAGTACAAACGACTAGTATAGTTTTATTTGAGCTTATATAAATCTGATGTCAGAACATTGCGAAATATGTTTTATTAAACTGTTTGCATATTTAATGTTCACACAATTCAAGAAATGATCATAGAAACTGCTTCTAAAACTGAGAAACTCGAATTTTCAAAAAGGCCTTGTGATCATCTGCTGCTATCTAGTATTGCATGGTCAGTCACGTTTGTTTTAGATAGTAACAGGCCAAGTCGTATCTATGTAGATTCGTAACTCACCAGTTTCCTGATCTCCTGTATCTCTGTGGTTTCGCACCCCTTTGTCTGTTTAGTTACCGATGGCACAAATGTGATTGTCAACAACAACGGTCTGTTCAGTCCGTTTTATAGTTTAAATGATATTTGTGTTACTTTTTACGTGTTACTGTTCGATGTATGTTTTGCATAAGGAAAAGGGAAATTGACGTGATTATTAAGTAATGAAATATCACCAGCACATACTGAAACAAGAACTTTGTCAACTGTCTACAAGTCGAACCAAATTGTTTGTGCTTCAAAGTGAGTGATGATGGAAGTGGCAAGTGACTCGGACACAAGTTACATTGCATGAAACATCTTTTATTAATGAATGTAACGGGATATGAAACTGACGAGAAACTAGAGATAACGAAAGTGCGGAGAAACGAAATGGAAGCCGTGTAGATTCTCGGACGTCTGTTTAAGTGCAAGCTTTACACGGTATAACCCGTTACACAACAGTTCCTTGAGGTTTCAATTAAAGAAGCTGTATGGATTCCGAACTATGATGAGTGAAGAGAGAACAAAAAAATACTTTGTTGTGATGGAACAAATGTTGCTCCAAGTTTAGTTTGTGCGCGCTAAATGGCCTCCGAATTGAATTATGCGTCGTAAAATATACACAATATGCCACAGGTGAATATCAATGATGGTGGTGTGTTCAGAATCATTTTGAAATATGCAAACTAAACCCAACTGTGTACATGTGAGGTAAATTACCACATTGGGAAGAAAAATTCAGATCGACCACTTGCGTTATGATATGGAATTATAAGTACATTTTCACAGTTCTTGCCACCAGTGCTTCGGCGATGACAAACAAATGAACAATTGTCAGGCGTTTGAAAGTTGGTTGGTTCTTCAGCGCCGCACTCAGCAATATTCCAGCTACATGGTGGTCTAAATAACCAGTCAATCCAGTGATCAACAGCATGAGCATCGATCTACGCAATTGGAATACGATGACACGTGTAAACCAAGTCAGCGAACCTGACCACCCGATCCGTTAGTCGCCTCGTTTGAAGATGGGTGTTTTTGTTACCCTGACTAGAAGTAGAATATAGAAATGAGATAAAACAAGAAAGGCTGGTTCGGACTGGTCCGCATACACACAGCGGATTAGTGTTCCTGCAATCAAATATTGGGCCAGACGTGATGACCACAGTATTTCTTCCCAAACGAAATTCATTTTCTCACATAAAACGAGATTGACGCGGTATGGGATAATCGTGCAGAATTTAGTGGATGTTTGGGCAAAACATGACTGGTCCTGTGCTTACCATACTTACGATCGGTTTACCAGGTAACACGAACATCTTGTAGTCAAATAAAGACCCAAATACACAAAGCGATCATGGCAATACATGCTACAGTGAATAGGAGTTACAATACAGTAGCACGCAACGGATGTTTTGTGGAAGTTAACTAGAAAGTGAACACTTTCAGCACAGCTAAATAATAATGGTTCACTTCCAGACCCAGTAAATGTACTTGACTTAAAAGGACATTGTTGTGAAATATATGATTAATCACAGCATGTCGATTGCAGGCGAAGTAATGGTTTTTGGGACCGTTCATAATTTATGACTTTTAAGGGAGGGTGTGTGTGGTGGTGTCCCCACCCATTTTGTTCTGGGTGTGTGTGTGTGTGTGTGTGTGTTTCCATCAATTTTGTACATAGAAATATTCATAGATTATGCTTAAACATTATGGGAAGGGGGGTCATTGTCGAGGGACATTGATTTTGTACGTGACACGCAGGGCGGGGGTGGGTGGGGGTTGGGTGGTTCCGTTCAGATTGCCCTGGTTATTGTGTCCTAAATCCTAACCATCACATAACAAACACCATATTCCGTGGTTGATGGGTTTGGTATCGCGGGAAAGAAATGAGTTGGGTCATATTTTACCGCCGTTGCAGTAAAAAGTGGTATTATATCCACATGGAAAAAAAGTATCGCAACACCAGTGATTTCTAGCCCACTTATAGCCATTTGTATTCATATCTTAATTATGTTTGTGTGATTATTTTGACCCCTCAGGCGCACGCGCAATGTGTACCTGTATTCAGCAAATATGAAGTTTCAGTAAACTGTTCGATAACTTGGAAAATCAATTGATTTCCTTGTTGATAAGCATTTAAGGGGCCTCCACTTAGGGCCTCATAAATTGACAACTGCTCTAAGATGGCAAGTTAATGGTATGCATGACGCTGGAATGTCATTCAGGGCTATTGCAAGAGATGCTGGTTGACATCTATCGACTGACTGGCGTGTCAGCGTTCAGGTCGACCACGAGTGACAACTCCTATAGGGAGGATACAACCCTTCTCGGACTGCACCCATTCGTGTCAAGTTGCATGTTACAACAGTGGTTTTAGTCTGTCGTACAGACCCTGAAGCAAATATATCCAAGAAAGCCCACACAAGTCTAGAAAATGTGGCAAGTCTAGATTTCCTCAGCTTCAGCTTCTGAAAATGAAGAAAGTCTCAGGGCTCCTTTTCATTATATATTTTTTTTTTACTATGAACTTTTTTCAGTAAAATATGTTCATTTCAGAGACTAGTTGTTAGTCTACAGTGGTTTCCACACCGTTGTTTGCCCAACAGAACGGTCCAAGTCGCCTAATATCGGACGGGCATTAAGCGATTGTTATCCCCAGTGACTTGGTGTCACTACCTCGTAACGTCACTGGAATTTGACGTCACGGGGAAGGGTACACTAGTCGGAAAAAAACCTCGATTGCTTTTGTTCACGACTGATGGCCGAGCTCGTATGTTGCGCCTAACGGGATATTTTGGACTTGGTGCAGTATGGCGACGGTTTATTGATGGTGATAATTCCTTTAGGTCAATTTATCCAGATTGTAAGTTATGTAGAGGTTTGGATAAGTTCTTTTGGTATGGTTAGTGGTACCATATTGATATGGGGGTCTTGCGATACTTGTTTCCAGTGGTTCTGCTTTTACGTATGCATGCGTTTCTCGTTGTAGTTACACACAGGCAGTTAAGCTGAGGTTAAGTATTTATGTAAATTTATTTTTCATATATTAACCATGATTTGTAATTATATAACCTTTATATGCTTAAACTGATGTTACATTTAAAACAAAGGAACTCTAGTCTTATGGGTATTTTCTCGTTATGCAAAAGAATATGCGTAATATGACATATTCAGAATATCTTAAGACATGGGAGTCCCACACGTATAAAATGTGCAATATTTAATCAAAACAGCTTGATATTTTCTGGAGTAGTAGTAATCAGAACCAAATAATTACAGTAATCAGGCTTGTTACTTTTAGCATGATTGTTTTATTTCCGAAGAGTGACCAGTAAGAGAGCTGCTGACGTGAGCTCTGTTTGCAAGACATTACGTGCAGAAGTTGCCTCCCTTTGCTCACTCGTCACGCACGGCTACACCCGAAAACGAAAAGTGTGTGCATCGATGTTCTGTTTCAAGACGGTGTATGAACATGTTAGAATTACATGACAGGCTGTTTGGCTGTTTAAAAGGTTATCGTGGGTGAGATCTAAACTGCTAAAATGTTTGTGGCCAACGAGTGTGGCCTTGTAAAAAAGCGTGCTACCTGGGGTCGACTAACATTGGGTTCCTGTCACTGCTTTTTCGAATAAGGTTAGGCCGAATGTACAAGTGTTCCTTGCCTGTGGTCACGCGTCCCATATCGTCAATGATCATAAGTCGACAATTCCAAATTTAACCATTTCAAATATTAAAACTTTGATATTTTCCAGGCTCATGTGTTTGTCTACTGAATCGACAGAACGGGCTCACTGAAACACAGATGCGCGCATGAATTTACTTCACTGCCTGTGAAACTATCTGCCGAAATATTATACACATTCAGCTCTGAACACAACTGCTGCGTGAACTTTTTGACAACAACGCGACTCCCGATTCACATTCCCCTCACATGAGCCGTCAACAAAGAACTCTCTTGTGAAGAGGGAGTGGATTGCCTTAACCAATCAAATTTCGTCTCATAATGTGACGCAGTCAAAACGAGGCCCAACGTGCAGCTTGTCGGCTGCTAACATAAAAGACTGGGAGTTTAGGCAGGCAGGTAGTGTTTGACTGAGTTGTGTCATCGGTATTTGCCGTGTTTATATGAAATCATAATTTTGCTATAGATTCAGGATGTCTACAAACGGAAATGCTAATGGTCACAGTCACGGTGAAGCAGACGTTTTGCAGTGGAAAGTTGGATTGATTAATGGTGCGAAGTATTTGACAGCGGAGACATTTGGATTTAAAGTCAATGCATCGGGAGCGGGTCTGAAGAAACGGCAAACTTGGATACTAGAACAAGACACAAAGGATGAGGTAGTTTACATTAGGAGTCATTTGGGACGTTATATATCAACGGATAAATATGGAAAAGTTACATGTGAGAAAGAAGCTGACGAGCGTGAAGAGACTGAACGCTTTGTCGTTGAGTATGCCAAGGATGGAAGCGGTCGATGGGCATTCAAAAATCGTAAGGAAGGGAATTATTTAGGGAGAACCGGTGAAGATGTGCAGTGTTTCTCTAAGACCGTCACAGACACTGAGTTGTGGGTTGTCCAATTGGCAATTCACCCCCAAGTCAACCTCCGTAACGTCAATCGTAAACGTTATGCTGTGCTCTGCGACGACGAAATCCAGTGCAAAGAAAACGTTCCATGGGGTGAAGCTGGACTTATCATTCTGCATTTTCACGAAGGAAAATATTCTCTGAAAACCTGCGACAATAGATTCTTGCATAGAGATGGCAGTCTGGTCAGTGAGCTTGAGAATGATGCCAAATTTACGCTAGAAATCAGGTCGGGTGCTGCCTGCGGCCTTGCCTTCAAAGACTGTAAGGGATATTATCTAACGGCTGTTGGATCCACTGCAACCATGAAAGGGGGCAAAAATAAGGCAGTTGGAAAAGATGAATTATTCACTCTTGAAGATAGTCACCCACAAGTTGCCCTCATGAGCACAAACAATAAGAAATTTGTATCAGTCAAACAAGGTAAAGTATCACCTGTTTTTACTTATTTTAGAGTATATAGATCTATAGTATAACGTATATAGTCAGTAATGATATGTCATTATGTATACAATATGAATGACAACATAGGGATTTGTTGCTGTTGCTCTACAGAATATATAGTGTATATAACCTATAGAATATGATAATTTGTGTAGATTAGGTAGATCTGTGACAGATCCAATCAGTAATGATAATTTGTGTAGATTAGGTAGATCTAGCCAATTGCGAGTTCATAAATAAGGGATTCCATGTTTATCTACTCATAGCAAAACTTGTGTTCTTTTTCCAACTCAATTTCATTAGGCATATTTTGTGTGAGCAGGTGCATATATGGTGTCAGAGCTAAGCGAGAAAGCAACGAAAGAGTTGCCTGTCACCTATTACTCCCAATCACGGCATAAGCATCACTGTAAAAGCATGCGCGCACGTGCTTTTGTGAATTCGTGTTAGGGGGCCCGTGTTAGGAGATCGTGGTTTTTCACAATATTCAGATGGATTGCCTTTGTCTGCATAGTGAAAAGTTTCTCACATCGTTTCTGTTGTTCTTCCCCTTGTGTACTTTGTCAAGTGTAAGAAGACGCCATGCCAGCTCTGGAAGTTACATTTTAATGCCCCGTCATCGAAGGTTATAAAATATTTTTTTTTATATATGCACTGCAGCGTTCTAATACTATCAGATGTTGAATTAATGGCTACATGTCTGCAATTTAAAGTGCAATATTGCACATGCGATCTAAACTTGTGAAACTATGTCAATCATATTCGATGGATCAGTGATCAATTAGTTGTGATATTGGTCCGTGATATTTGGCACACATCAGTATTTCAACTTCGCTGAGGGTATTTTCTGTCTGTGAAAAAGGAATGATTTGGGTTTTCATAGGAAAAAGACTAGCAAGAATTTTATTGATTAATGTATGTAGCTGCTTAAAGATTGCCATGGCGACGAGTCGCAATCCCACAATAAAAAAAAAAAAGAAAAATCGCGTTTGCATTTAGCGTGCCCAGTCTCACATGAGCATAACCACAGGCCGATCCAGAGGGGAGCCCCCCCCCCTATTTTTTTTTGTCTTTTTGTCCAGATAGCTCATTAAAAGACCATTGAAACTTCCGTTAGAACGAGTTAAAATGAACTGTGCAACACCACCCAACCCTTTCACAGCTGTATCAACCCCTGATGTCATTAGGTATCCTCCTCGAAAAACATCATCGTACCTTTAACTTCAGTAAACCATGCTTGTCGTAAGAGGCGACTAACGGGATTGGGTGGTCAGGCTCGCTGACTGGGTTTACACGTGTCATCGTATCCCAATTACGTAGATCGATGTTCATGCTGTTGATCCCTGGATTGTCTGGTCCAGACTCAATTTTTTACAGAATGCCGCCATATAGCTGGAATATATTGCTGAGTGCGGCGTAAGACTAAACTCACTCACTCACTCGTTCCTTTCAAGTTCACAGCAGCCTGTCATTTAGCATTCGCGCTACGAAACGAGTAATACTGGATCTTGGATATTCTGTCCATGTAACTTGTAATACTATACTGTATACCCCGTGAATGAAGCAGGTCTAGATTTTCCTCAGATTTACGTGACCAGCGCTAGTCTATGTCTTATAGCAGTGCCTATTTTTAGGAGATAGACTCGTATCAGTTTTAGGCTCCTGTTCCTTCCCCATACTCCTGCCTGTGTCAAAGCAGAATTTAGTAAGATGTAATGTGACAGGGAGCAATTATTAACTGTACCTCACACGTCAGTTAGTAGTGCGCATGGTGAATACTAGTAGTTGACTGCACGATGAAAAGACAACTCCTTTTGGGTATGATGTTACGCCGATGTCAACCAAGAGCAATTCCCGATTCTGATACTCTAACTGGAACTTGCAAAAATGTGGTTCTAGGAGCATATGATACGTTCAGTAGAAAAGCGTGCGTCGACACGTTATGATGTCATATTCAATGTTAATGTGTCTTTATTTTGTTTACTAACACGTCAGCTTTGAAGTTAATGTAGACATGCAAGTTTATTGTTGGTTATATGTCCACAATATATGTTACCTGTTGCGCAATCGCAGTCGTTTGTTTTGTCGCATGTTTGTTTGAATGGAAAAGGGACTTCGCACGTCTTACTCAACACTCGCAGATGTAGATTTGCCAATTTAACGAGGATTAGGTGTTGTCAATTGTTGGTCAGGAATCCTTTATACAACATAGTCGAGTAGCGCCCTTGTTGGTTGAGCCAATGCATCCCCCCGTTTCAGGAACGCGACCAGCCCCTCAGCAGCTACGAAACAATATTGACATATCCTGATGATACACGGAATGTTTGGAAATTTAGCTAAGCATGTATGAAGTTTCTAAGGAGAGCCTTCATACTGACCTTCAGGCGCAGGGCTTGTAGAGTTAGATCACCGAAGCAACAAAATTCACGTAATCCAACGTTTGGCCCAAAGTAGGGAACCATTTAGTAACTTTTTTTATTGCACCCTTGTAGACGAACGTTAAAGGAAAACGTCAGTGGGAGCTTTGTGTATCATGTGGTGAAATTTACATTTTTGTTGCTAAATAAATCGATGTTCTTTATTTGACAACTGACAACTGATTCGTTGTGATGGCTTCCCTGCGTAGTTGGCCATATACTTAGTGTAATCTGTAGCTCTTAGAATGGACACCATTTGTTACTAAGACCATGGTGTGTTTTCTTGGTTGTAAACCTGTTCTTTTGTCTGGACTATAAGTATGCCGATGAGTGGAACCTTTAACCTCTTACTCACATTTACGCTGATCATAGGCATAGATATCATCGTTTTCTTGTCTCTCAGAAACCTGATTTGGGTGAAGGAACACAACTCGTGATTATAAGAATCATTTCTATGTCGGGATCTAAATTAACGATATAGCCTCAAATTAGCAACATTCTTCATTGTTAAATAAGGTCAGATGGTTCAGAGTCATTAAAATTCTAGTGTTTCTGTGGCGAGTTGCGTGCACGGCAAGGTGAAGGATGTCTGGAATTACAGACCATAAGTTCTCTGGGCTAATGAAGCTAACTGAATTCCTCTCTGCAGTATGGTGCCTGACATGGACCTCTTTGTCAAATATCTGAGGCTGCCATTTAGTGACGACGAGGATGTCGTTTGCCTGATGTTGATCAATCAATAAATCTGAGATGGTCGTCGAGATAGTTCAGGTCACCGCCACTAAATGCTGGCTCTCTATTTTTTGTAGTCTTTAGTCGACTTCTGGAAGCCCTGCAGTAGGTTGCCATCTGACCGTGCTCAACAATCATTATGTAATGATGGTGTCTAAAACACAAGTCTTCTTTGCGTAAAGTGAAGTGTTTTTGTTATGCTACTTATCCTTTATCGGGGGAGGGTGTGTTTGTGTTGGTTTGCAGGGGTGCCTCTCCCCCTTTTTTTGTCCTGAAAGTTTATTGAACGACAATTGAATCTCTTGTGAATCTGTGTGACATCTCTTCCATGTGACAATTTCAGTGGCACGAAATGAACTGTGCAACTCCCACCCTTACTCCCTGAAAAATTTCTTCTTTTTAGAAATGATCCAAATACTGTATCCCCTGTAGTTAGCTGATTGTGTTATTAAATTTGTCTGTCATCATATATATGTGATTCATTATATATCTTGTTCTGAGATAGCTCAAACTTTGAGATGGATAAAGTTGTACAGCACCCCACCCCTCCCCTTTCTCTAAAGCTGTATCCCCCCCTAGTTAGCGTGTGTTAAAAGTCTGTCAGCTGAGAGCTCAACTATGAGATGGATAACGTTGTACAGCCACGATGCTGGCCACTGTCACATGTGTCTGATATTTATTTCATTTCTCAAACTGACCTGAATGTAATGCACACCCTCAAGCACATCTGGCAAACAGAAGCAATTGCTACATGCACAGCAATAGATATTTCTTTAATTTTGGGGCTTCTTTTGAATGAATTATTAACATTTTATTTATATGATCCATGATTACATAGAAAGCAGTTCATACACTCATAATGACATTGCTTTGCTGAATTGTGAATGTGATCAGTTCTTTGCTGTCCAACGACGATTACCAATTCCCTGTAATTATAATGCAACAATTACTCAGTTGATCCAACGTCAAAACAGCTCCCCCTCCGCAAATATATCCTTTTCTCCACATGTATTAAACTGACTTGATATAACACATGGGTCCTGGGGTATTGAGGAACAGAATCAATATTTACGGTTTCACGCATTGTGTAATTAGAACCTGAACAGAATGTGTTTATCCAACGAAAGAATGCCCCCATCTTTGCAAAACAGCAGCCACAGTAAAGGAATCGGGTGTCTATCGCGGCACTGTTTACGATCCCAAATCAAGGCGACCCCAATCACGTAATTGTATCCTGATGTCTGACGCTGCCTTGTTTTTTTTGGACAGGGCAAGGTTTGTCATTTAGGCGACAAGTCAGGCGTCCAGTGTGATTGTAACATAAAGATACATATAGATCCGTTGTGTAGAAGTGCTATGTTCAACACTTCTGGCATGTTGCTTGTCAGAGAAACAGGGCTGCTGAATTATATCATGGTGTCATTGTACAAAAAGTTACCATTGTTGTATGTCTATCTTAAGGTATTGGAGTTACCATAGCATCTTTCAAGTTGATTTATGGATGTCCTTGTGTCTCAGGAAAGTGTATTTGTAGGGATAGGTCTGTGGGCCTTTGGATGTTGGCAATAAATGACTAATGTTGCCATGATGGAAGATCACTGTGGTCTGCTGTATTTTGCACACCTTGAAGTACAGTCCAGCTCTTATGACATTAAGCTGTGACTAAGGTATAAGTTTAAAGTTTATATTAAATTAATAACCTCATCATATTATGGTGCTTTTGTAACCTGCTGTATTTGATTGTGTTTTAGGTGTTGATCTGTCAGCCAATCAGGCAGAGTTTTGTGAAAAGTCGACATTCCAGATGGAATTTGACAAACCCAGTCAAAAGTGGTCCTTCAGAACAACTGCAGACAACAACAAGTACTGGGCCCTGGAGTCTTTTGGGGGAATCCAAGCTACTTGTATGACTGTGTGAGTTTTATGTATGACTGGAAATGTCATTGTTCTTGGATACATGTTAAAAAGATCATTTGATTTTGATCTGTGTCCATAGACTCCATACAAAACCATAAAGGATCTGTCATTTTAACATTTCAAGCTGTAGGGAAGCTTTTAGTCAAGAAGGTATAAATAGAACTTAACAAATGTACAAGTTCAAAAGTGATTACATTATATATATATATATAGTGACTTTTGTAAAGGTGCACATACTAGCTATGTACTATGATGCACAAACACTATAGTTGCTCAGTATTATTGTGAAAGTTCAATTTATTCAAGACTGAGGGGCAATGGGGTAGCCTAGTGGTTAAAGCATTCACTCGTCAGGCTGAAGACCCTGTTCGATTCCCCACATGTGTGAAGCCCATTTCTGGTGTCCTCCGCTCTGATATTGCTGGAATATTGCTAAAAGCAGTGTAAAACTTAACTCACTCACTATTCAAGACTGCAGGTAAAAAGTGAAATAATTTACATTCACAGACACTTTCAGGCAGATTCACATTAAAGCCGTAGCCCTTGTTTACAATGTGTAAATGTAAAGCGTTCTCTAATTCTGTCTTCTTGGCAATTTCAGGTGCAATAAGTCCTTGTTTGGTGTGGAGTTCATTGGGGATGGAACCATAATTATCACTGCAGATAATGGTAACTGCTTGTACAACAAACAGACTGGAAGCATCTTAGCCAATGTGGAAAACCCAGAATCCGCCACACGCTTCACACTCCGCATGATCAACAGGCCTTTCCTTATCCTCAAGTGTGATTTTGGATTTGTGGATTTAAAGTCCCCGACAGCTGCAAAACCAGAATTAGTCTGCAGCAAGACAACTTACGCAGTCACCTTCTTGGAACCCCTGGATGATGGGCAATATTATCTGAAAGGTAGGTCAGGCTGACATTTGTCTATGTCTAAGTAGCAGTCCCAATGAAATCAAAATAGTTGACGGTGAAGGATAAGTATATGAATATCTGATTAAGACACCAATCTGTGCTTATACTGGTGTTTCAAATCCTTCTTGTATGGTAGTTATATGTGGATTGATACTTGCATTTGGAAATGGTTTATTCATTAATATTAGGAATAACATCATTTGCATAAAAAGTTCAGAATGTTCAGTCAAATGCAAAATTATATGTATTTGCCTGATAAAGCTTAGTGAAGAAATTTAACCATTATGGTGAGGTCACCCAAGTGTTCTTACAGTTGATTTCACTTACCATTCTGTAGGTGTACTTAAACCAAGTACAGCTGACTCAACTATTTTCCAAATTTATTCACAAATTACACATCGAAATCAATGGGATACTATTACTCCAAAAATCAAGTCAATATTCTCATTATGTCTTCTTACTTGTAATTTTATAGATAGGAAGCAACATGTCAACAGGAAAATAGCACACGACCATAATGCACCTATATTCCCTTTCAGCTTTGAACAACAAATACTGGATTGTAGCTGATGACAATTCTTTGCTCGCTGACTCTGACACTGGAACCTGCCCCTTCTTAATAGAGTTCCGAGGACAGTCTCTCATCTCCATCAAGGCCCCTAACGGAAAGTACCTGAAGGGAGAACAAAACAGTTTTGTTGCCAAAGGAGAGGAAATTGATTCCTCCACTCTGTGGGAGTACTAGCTCAAACAGTGGGAGTACTAGCTCAAACAGTGGGGGAAGGACAGGCAGCCAGCTGGCTAACTGACTGACCCACAAGCCTGTGTGGACCACAACCAAACTGTGCTTTCATGTATAATGATGATGTAAAGATCGCTGGCTGGGACCAATATTCAACATTCAGCCACTTTTCTACTATATATTTGTTGCCAGTGTTACAACAGTAATGTTATAAAGGTAACTGGGCAGATTTCAAATGCCAATCATTAATCAGCGGATTTATGTACAGATGAAGTTTCCATGTTTTCCCTTTTTGGGCGATATGTATTTCCATCATTTTTGTACTTGAGAAGATACACTATTGCCAACAGTTGCCAGCTTCTCTCATAAAATGTTTTCATCAACATGCATGGTGCTCCATTTCCATGTTGATACCATGTGGATTCATGCTCCAACCCTTTCCACACGGAAACAGATGAAGAATTATTTTATTAGCATATGTATTTACATTTAGTGGACCAGTAATATTTTCAGCATTATGTCACTAAATTGTACCAAAATTTTCAACGAACAAGTTATCTTCCTATGCACATAACCCAAACCATTTCTGATCTCCTGTTAAAAGTTGCATATATGTTACATGTTCTTCATCCTTCCATTACACATTGAGATTAGCCGGAGCAGTTGAATAGCAACCTATGCCCTTGACATATCAACAGTAGTCTTCAGTCTTCAGCTTTACCCTGAAGAAATCAAACTGTTAACTCAAACTGTAAACTATGTATTCTACTGTCCAAATATGTTGTTAGAGATTTAGCTTGCTACTGTTACATGTTTCTAATTCTGGAAGATTAATATATGTTACAAAGGTATTTGTAATTGTTCCATGCTCGTTGCTCACATATTTGGGACTGGTCAAAGACTTGTGTTTGTTGTAACAATGTTGTTACTGAATTGAATAGAGGAAAAGAAGATAAGGATATCTTTGACAGTGATGTTAATGGGCTGAACTATGATAGATCTGAGAAGTCTGTTACTGGAACTACTTTGGGATTATGAGGAGTGTTCTCAAGTCTATGGGCAAATAATTTGTCCAGAGGTTCAAATGTGCTTTGGATGGACCACGAGTCAGTCTCCAAGTTTAAGTAGATTCATCTCTTTCAGTTCCTGTTCTCCCTGCATGAATGTGATATGCGAATGATGTATGCTGCTTCACTCCTCCACGGAGAGTGTATTGCGAGTACATGATATGTACTCTTCTATATACAGTGGATGACAGACCGATGCTCAGATAGCGCCTCTTTGTGCAATGCTGTTATAACCACGATCAGTGCTTTGATATGGACCTGTATGTATGCAACTGTTCAGTCAATAAAGCGCTTGAAAATTCAGATAGAATTGTTTTTTCATTTAGCAACAATACAGTTCGGCTCACTGACAGTGATATACATCACTGACAGTTATTGTATTGGGGGTATAATACCACCACTGACATGTCAAAGTTGGAAGCATGACTCTTGTTTCGTGACATCCTTGGTGTTTCTCAAGGTATTTAACAATAGATCTCTACTCTGAAGGCACCTTATTTTCCTTCCTGCAGTGTGACTCATCGTCACCTTTTCATCCATAAATATATGTCTATGTCAGGACATAAGGCTTGTTAAATTATCTCAAAATGTTAGACACAGCCAGAAGAATGTCATTAACCAGGTAGTATTTGATCTGTAATGATATCAGCAAATCCCCTTGAGGTCGTTATACCATATCTTGTCAGTTCATACAGGGTATCAGCGCCACCTTTACGCACATGGTACTAAGGGTATTCTAAATATTGAGGAAAGGAGAGAATAGGACACTGTAATTTGTACGTCTCGCGTCCTTACCGGTCATTGTGGGAACTTCTCTTTGCGAATGTAGGAAATGTGTCATGGCTACGCATGACTGGCGTTATTACGGGTAGAACACGCACTGTCTGGGAAGTCGTGATGATGGCAAGGTGAAAATAAATTCACTTATGACTAAAGGCACGATGCGTAGTTCTTGTGTTTAGCGTTGTGTCGAAATAGACGGCTCCTGACAATTCGTGAATTACTGACTTGGTTATTCAGATTCAGGTGATCGTGGTGGAAGTTTTATGACCTGTGGGTGTATTTTGGAGACTTCACCAGGTATGACTACAGCATTCATCGTGACTATCAAAAACTCCAAAATAATAATCAGCACAAAACTAAGTCTGTCATTAACGTCTTAAGAGGGCCTGAGTAAGCGTTTAGATATGTTTCTAATCTGGATTTTAACGCCTTGAATTTCGACTCGTTGTTAGCCGTTACTCAGACAGCCAACATTCCCTAAGCCGTTGCAGTAAAACACCCAAATCGTATAAAACCAGCGCCCGTCATGTTGAGCAAACCCAATTCAGCGGTAAGCAGACGTCACCATGTGAGTTAGGACATATAAGGGTCGTCTGGTATCGATCTGGTGGAACTCGGAGGGTTGGGGTCCTCGCAGACAGTCGCACTGTGTTTACTGGCGCTTATTCTCAATTTGCACTGTGGGATAAAAGTCTTATCTATGGAGAATTCTATTAAATAATCCAGTTCTGGAAACAATGTTGATGTCGCTGATTGGTACAGCTTTGAAACTGTCAGCATGACCTGTTCAAGGTCCCCATGTCAAACTGGAGGTAGTTTTTTCCGTAGTTAAGGGTAAATCTTTCTAAATTGCACAAGGTCATTCAACAGTATCACTGCGAACTTGGCATGAAATGCCAAGGAAGGTTAAACGAACTTTCATTTCTTTGTGAAATAGCACCAATAGAAGGAATTGCCATCCTGCTTGTCATGAAATTAAAACGAATTACTCGCAGTTCTGTGCCAGACCATGCACCGATCAGAGCGACATCACGGAGTGAATGACATTATGTGATGGCATTAGGTTTATTGACTCTCACAGCTTCAGCTTCAGACATTACACGTCACATTTAGCATATAGGAATTTGACTGAGTTTGGTTTTACGCCGCTTTTAGCAATATTCCAGCAACATCACGGCGGGGGACACCAGAAACGGGCTTCACACATTGTACCCATGTGGGCATTCGAACCCGGGTCTTCGGCAGGGCGAGCAAACGCTTTAACCACTAGTCTACCCCACCGCCCCCTATAGGAATGTGAGCCTCACTAGACAGCGAACATTCTGTATAATGCGGACAGGTTTTCTTAGACTAATGATAAGACTCTGAATATATATTGAAACAAACAAGTCCTATTAAATTGAAAAGGAGCCCCAGTGAGATGGGAGATTCAGAACCTGAGGGAAATCTAGACGTGTTTCATTCAGGGCTTTAGCATTGCAGAAAGGGCTATATAGCGGATGGAAAGATAATGTGGTTCAGTGACTGAGACAGATTAGGGTTTCTGTGCTTGCCATATTTTGCATGTTGATCAATAATTTGCTGAAGACGTTGTGAGTGATAGGAGGATGTTGTTTCACGGCAATGTTTTAAGTACGTCGCGGTGGTCTCTAAATAATCGAATTTGAGGCGCCAAGCCTGTGGTTGACGGCACGAGCAACGATCTTGGCCGCTGGAGTACAACCTTTAGCCAGATAACACTATGTAACTGTGCCCATCCAGCCATCAGACTCTTTGCTGTTTGTTTATTTGTTGTTTAATGCCACACTATAAGAAGACAGCCTGCGATAAACAAGAATCGACCAAATAATTCAGCGATTAGCCTCATAAGCATCTAGCATCCAGGGCCTAGATTTTCGAAGCTCTCTTAGCGCTAAGATAGTCGTAGGTTAATGTTCATGTATGGCACTTCCGACTATCTTAGCGCTAAGAGAGCTTCGAAAATCTAGGCCTAGAATACCAATGTGTAACAAATGTAATGTCTATGGAAGCTCACTGTAAGGCACTGTGTCAGGCTGAGAACCTTGATCCGGAAGTTGCCACTGAGTGTGCGTGATAGAAACGATAGCCTTGACACTTGAACGACATCCGCGGTGTGGTTAAAATCATAACTTTAATCATCATAGCTTGGAATGTCGGCCACAAATTGCTAGCTAATTAAGGGAACAACTCTCTTTAATGACCGTCCAATAATTTGTCCATAATAGAACGAGTAGCCAAATAATATACGTGATTATTGGAATGACATGGATGCTTACGTTGATTTGTGCTGTACCAATAACCCTAATTGCTCTGACATATTTCACCCATTCATCCAGACTAGACGCGACAATTAATTCAAGATTTGTGCATAGTCAATATACGTTAGCGTGTGATTACTGATTGTGCAAACAATTACCCATGTTGTTTCGTCATCATAATAATATTCACAATAATTGGTTTCTTGTTTCGTTTATAATGACGGATAACATACATATCGCGATTTTCATATACATAGGCGGATCCAGGAATTTTCAAAGGGGGGAGTTCAGGGGGTTCGAACCCCCTGAACCCCACCTAGGCTCCGCCAATGCAAAACATTAACTTCAATGTGATCTTTAGCCATTTTCAAAAGGTATACATGATATACATGTAGTAGGTAAAGTATGAAAAGTCTTTGAAAAGCAAATGAAGCACAAGTTTTCATCGCTGCTATCTGAACACAATCGAATATCAACCAAAGACACGAACGTCGTCGGGGTACGCAGACATCATATCAGCAATGGAGGTTGTGACCGTTAACAGTACTCAAGTACATTGTATACCTAGAATTCCTATGAAGTGGAATCCCAACAGCCGTATTAAGGAAGTCCTAATTTTTGCAATATTTCATAAACAGGCCCTCAGAAAAGTCTTCACTCATTGCACCCATGTGGGGAATCGAGCCCGGGACTTCGGTATAACGAGCGAACGCTACCCCATTTGTCAGCCGATCAAATATTGTTCCCTGTCATTGAAAATAGGACGTCATGCGGAAGATGGAAGAGGTCCTTGTTAAATATCAGAAGTTTGCTGGTTGGTATTCCACATACAGGATTTAGACACAGTAACGTTTCCTTGAGACAGATCATCGACTGTCGTTTCAAAATCATGTGCACATGTTATTGTTATTTAATCATTGGTACATCGGCATGAAGGTGACATATAAAGGAAATACATGTACATGCATCGTGACCTATTGAGATAGGACTCGCGTAGAATATAACGCAAGCGGGGACATTCGCTTTCTTTCAGTTTGTCTTTATTTCATTCCGGTGAGAAATCTACTGGAGGAAATCTACATGTTATCCACATTAGCTTCTGAGGTATTGATGGAATATCCACTTCCGGTTTCCTTAATCAAATGTTCGAATTGGGTATGACAAACAAGCCTACGACATGATTACGTCTGCGCATGCGCAATTCTAAGATCATATGACCGCCATGGCAGGTTTAATCTTGACTTGTCTGCGTTTGCTGTGGATAAGCACCAGACGATATGTTTATGGATTAAGTATTTTGAGACTGTTTAAGAAAAACTACTTATGCAAACTCAGTTTGAAGGAGATTCTGAGTGGAGGGACGGATTTGGACGGGCCTCCACACCTCTGTTTGACGACAGAAGCCGACAGTCGTCTCGACTGACACAGTCTGACATAACTGAAAATGTTGCTTGTTAAACGTCGTGGCATCTCTAACCAGACATGTACTTGTCCCAAACTGAAATGAAAATTTTCCGAGACTGCTATACGGAGATTTGTAGTGCGTAGGACGATAGCAAGGCTACACCCGACACGCAGTTTGCTTGACATGCCCTGCTTGTTAGGCAACGTTCTATTGTGAACCATCACACGTCTTTGTAAACAGAATGACTATTAACTGAAACTTGGATCGAGGGATAAGGCCCTTGCAAGTATAACTTTTGTTTTACGACGTTTTGAACAGTATGTTTGTTTCCTTGTTGTTTAACGTGGCACTCCTCAATATTCCAGCTATATAGACGGCGGTCTGTAAATAATCGAGTCTGAACCAGATAACCCACAGTGATCAACATCATGAGCATCGATCTCCGCAACTGGGAAACGATGACACGTGTCAGCCAAGTCAACAAGCCTGAAAACACGATCCCGTTAGTCGCCTATTCTAACCCGGATATTTACGGGTATTGAACAATATGATACAATAACACCACAACCTGTACTATTTACAAGGAAACTGATGCAGGTGTAAAGATAACCACTTCCATGAAACAAAGGAGGATGTGTAAATGATGATGACAACATAATAATATGGGACTATGGAATTCTTTTCACTTTGTGTAACAACCGGTAAAACTATAATGAACATCCTCTATGAAATAGTGAGTGAGTGAGTATGGTTTTACGCCGCTTTTAGTAATATTCCAGCAATATCACAGCGGGGGACACCAGAAATGAGCTTCACACATTGTACCCATGTGAGGA